TTGAACCATGGTCCCTGTGCTTTGCTAAGCTTGTTCTAAGTAGGTGCTTTAGACCACTGAGCCATCTCACCAGCCCTGTTGAGCTATCTTGCAAGCCCTCTTAATTTGCATCTGAATGAGTTATTTTTCAGACTACAGGGATAATGAATAGATTTGTACGTATGTGATGATGGCCTTAGCTGTTTTCAGCTGTGTGTGTGTGTGTGCGCGCGGGCATGTGCATACACGCTATAGGGCTTGTGCATGCTGGGCAAGCTTTCTAAAGCACTGGAAAAGAAGTGGAGGGCTGCAGATGTGGAAGGACGCTTATCGAGCACGCACAAGGCCCTGAGTTCAGTCATTAGCCATAATCATGGGTATCAATTCTCAGGCATCTATTGGGAGTTTACTAGGAAAAGGGAAGGAAGTTGTGGAAACTAGCTTTTACTATTTAATTTGAAAGAGTTACTTAACTATTGCAGGTTGCTACAATTTCTGCAAATGGAGACAAAGAAATTGGCAATATCATATCTGATGCCATGAAGAAGGTGGGCCGGAAGGGCGTCATCACAGTGAAGGCAAGTGAGGGGCTTGTGCTCCTGTTGTGCAAGCTGCCTTGTGGCTGCAGTCACACTACCTCAGCCGCCATGTGTCCTGCTGCAGCAGCTGGTGGGGCTGCTTCTAGGGATTATCCTGGAGGTGCCTGATGAATAGTACTTTCCAAGTGGAGAGCCTCCAGCCTGTAGGACCTCTGTGCTTGGCTTCCTGGGATAAATCCACCTCAGCAGTCCTTCCACTCTGGGTGGAGGAATCGTTCAAATGCACACTTTTAGGAGTTGGGTGCTCTGGGGCAGCTGCATGGTTTTACTGAATCTTATCTTGGGAGGAGTCTCTTTACTCTTTATTTGGTCAAGAATTCCAAGTTTTGAATGTTTTTCCAAGAAATCCACTCACCTTGTTTTTTTTTACTTTCTGTAGGATGGAAAAACCCTGAATGATGAATTGGAAATTATTGAAGGCATGAAGTTTGATCGAGGATATATTTCTCCATACTTTATTAACACATCAAAAGG